GCAACTTCCTCCTTAAGTTAGGACCGCTTTATGTCCATGTCATGATTTTGATGAATGAAACATTAATATTTGGTGATGTTGGTAGAAGTAGAAAGTCTTTAAAGAAGAGGTGTATGAAACTTTTTGTCATGTGGCCTAAAATTCTCATAAAAAAATTTCATATTTAAGAACTAAAGTCAGCAAAAAATGTTTTTTTTCTTTACCTACTTAACAATAAACTAAGCATAAACTATTTTTAATTAAACAAAAAAAGTAATCAGATGTTCTTTTTGTACAAAAAACCCCAGAAACTTACATCCGATACTTCTAATGGTTTTTGCATGTTTTCCTTGTTAAATGAAAGGCCTACATAGAGTTTGCTTGTTATTTTGAAGAAAATTGAATAAATATTTTATTCGGTTCTCAGCAATAAAAACAGGTCCTAGGTCGGTCTTCATTTGAAAACAGTTGTTGCACTCAGACAAGTTTTAATATGGCAATTAAAAGCAGATTTTGTCGCTCCAAGGTGAACTTTAGAGTACGAGTCAATGAGTGGAGGTGCTACTAGTTGCCATGGCAATAGAAGAAAACCAGAAAGATTGGACAATATGATCACTCAGTGTTGCATCTAACAGTTTTGTAAATTTGTCCTAATTTATTCTTGAATTGTGGTCATGTGGTCGCAAAAACTTCATTCCGAGGGCTGCAAACAGCCCCTGAGCCCCGCCTTGAACCCCCGTTGCTTTAAAATAACCCACATGTAAAACACAGACTCTGTTTTTCTATTTCAAACTAATATTAACTGATAAAAGCTTCAAATTCTCAGTTTTTCTCCCCTGCTGGCACTGTTATTTTTTCTGGCCAGCATGTGGCCGGATCGCTTCATGTATTAATCAAAGAGACGTGAGTCCCTTAGTATTGATCTCCTCGTCTACCCTTGAACCCGAGGCTCTTCCGCTGACTTGAAAAGTCTAAATGGGAGAAATATTCTCCAGGGGGCCTCAGGGGCCAGCGGCGTGTACAGTTAGTACATTAATCAATCAAAATGAGCGGAGGCCTAATGTGCTGAGAAAAGGATACGGCGCTCCTGCCCTGTCAACAGTGCTCTCTGCACCATGAAAGGAAAAAGAAAAGGCCTCTAAATGTCGTACTTTGAACTAATTTTGGTGAAACGTTTAGTTCCAATCATATCTTTACCATAATTTATAACAGATCGTTTTGTTCTACTTCAGAAAATCAGTCTTGGGCCTGGTGTGCGTCTGTGATTTATTCCAGCGGCACGACTCTGAACCCCCCTTTCCATCATGTGACGAGAAAAAAAGAAAAAAAAAGAAAAGAAAAAAAAGAGTATTCTGACCCAGCCATCTGTGTTATGACTTCTCATTGGAAAACATAGCTGTTTCACCCAGGCCAAGAAAGAAATCTTGTTAAATTTTTCTACTGCTGTCAGACTCCACTGAATTTAAAAAAAAAAATGAAGAAAAAAAAAGTTATGAAATTCAATTAAATCGTCCGTTACGGGCCTCCTTTTCTAATAACGTCGCTATTTTAGAGTTACGCAGTGTTTCTGCTTCTCATATTTCTTTAAGGGAAACAGCAAACTCATTACAGGGTCATTGGGTTCAAATTCTAATTATATTCTGTTGGAGCAGACAGAGAGCTAAATTTATGGAGCCAAACTTTCTGGCTCAGATTAAAAAACAAAAGCAAAGCCAGGGTTTCTGCAGGTTTCACAAACTCATATTTAAGGCTTTTAAAGACCATTTTAAGGCCATTATGACGAGAATTTTACGAATATCACAAAAGAAATGTACAAAAGAGAATTGGATTATATTGCATGAAACATCGTATGGACTGGCAGCGGCGAAGATGAACGTTGTCCAGCCAACTTGTGGTAAATTTACACTTAGCCAAGATAGAAGCACAAAAAGCTAGCTGGGGTATCAGCAGCTGTCCACAAAACATAAAAGATGTTTGCGAGCGACTCAAACGTTTTGCCTGACAGAAAAGTCTGTAGAATAGTCCAGCCACAACAAAATGTAAGACCTGTGATTGACGTATTTAAAACCAACTTACATTTTTAATGAAATAAAGACATTTTAAGGCTTCAACTTTAGACACATGAGATTAAGACTTTTTAAGGATCCTCTGATAATTAAAGTGTGCGTTTTCTGCCCAATTTTTTTCATTTTTGCAAACCTACATTTTTAAACCATCATGGTTTGAATTTTGAAAGGCAAATTGAAAGGCAACATATTCAGCTTTAAAAATCGGATCCTGAAAACGAGAGAGAGCAAGAACGGCTAATAGCACCATAAAATTACTTTTACATTACTGTTATTATTATAATGGTGACTTGGGCCCACATGGCAAAGACGCAGTCACCAGACTGTCACATAAAATGCTCTTAAAATGCACTGAGGTTTTTGGCCATATAAAATATCCAACTTTCTTATCTAGTCTTGATAATAAAAAGAAAGGAGATATACAGGTGTATGGTAGTCTGGCATATGAAGATGTGCTCTTATTGCAAATCTCTAAACCCCATTTTTAGAGCAAGTGGCTCGTTACATCAGGCATCTTCTGTGCCTGCTGTCAGGAGCAGCAGGGATAAAATCCATACATTGCTTTTAAAGTAATCCATGAGAACCTGTTATTGATCCCAGCGCCAACAGAAGGCCAATATATGAACGCTGAAAGAACAATTTCACTGAAGATGGCCCTTTGAAGAGCTGCTAGCCGTTCCAGGTAGAAATACATTTAGATCAGTAAATGCACCCGTGACAAGACTGAAGACTAAATGAACACAAATAACAGCGTTCACAGAAGATAAGACGCTCAGATCAATAAAGGTGAGGTTTGGCCTGCATTTCCAAAGCTACATGCATTTAGAGACCACTAAATTAATCAATTTGATACATCCTGTACTGCAGAACATGTCTGCCTCCATCAGCACTGATACTAATGTTATTCTTCTGCATGCAAGAGTTGGGTTATAAGTGAGGTCTGCCCAGTAGGAATCCTTCTTGTTGTTATTCAGTGGCTCGTTTCACCTTCAAGGTGGACCTGAAGGGTTTCTTTCACAACGGCGGCCCGTTACGCCTCGGAGCGGCCCAGTCAGGTCGCAGAGCCTCGGAGGGTTGAGAGCAGTGCAGAGGTCATTCATTACGCGAGGCAGCACTTCATGTTGCTATGACGATGGACTCTGCCAGGTACAGGACCGTCATCAAGAGACAGTAACTCGCCTTTGTGGTCGTATCACAAACCTTCATTTAAAGCAGCTTTGCTGCGAAGTAAAATCGACTTTTTAGAGCTTTACCTCATATTATAGCGTTATTCACTGATAAAAAATATACCTGGAGTGTTGTTTAGACTCATTTTGATGCATGTTTGAGAAATCCTTTAATCTCCATGGCAACCATCCACCTGTGCAAAACGTCTAGGTGTACCTAGCCCCGCCTTCAAAGCTGCAGTTTCCAAGCAGCCCTCCCCAACTCAGCTCCTTCAGACTAGCCAGCAGCAATTAGCAAACACCTGGTGGACCTGTGCAGCTGATGAGCTCATTATAGCAGCTGAAGGGTTAACAGAGGAGCCATGTTGTGATGACTTCCTGAAGGCGGAGTTTCAGAAAGAGACAGAGCCCCAATTTCAAAGCGTTAAACTACAGAGTCCAATTTTTTATAAGTCATTTTTAGGATTTTTATAACAACTGAAGGTGACATAGTTACTTGATTTTGCTATATGTTATTAGTACCTTTAAAGTAATAATAATAGAATATGAAAACAATATTTTTAAAGTCAAACTGGGTTTTCTATTCCATTCACAATATGAACAATTAACACTTTGACAAGGTTGAATGTTTTCTAAATAAAAAATTAAAAGTAACAGCAGGTAGTTGGTCCAGACATTGTAAAGAACCACGTGTATGGCTCATTTTACACAAAAACATTTTTGACAAATGTTGGTGTTTTTACAAACATCTGGCACAAGACAAAGTTAACATCCAACTCTAAGTGTGTATCCATTCCCATATTGGGACAGGAAGATGAGTGATTGTGGAAATTATAGGAAAGTCATCAGTTCCAGAAAACATCTGTGCACTTTTCATTTGTTTCTTGTTGTTTTTATTATTATTATTACAAAAAAAAAGAAAATATAACAGAAGCAGCAGTGTTTGCAGAGCTCTTCTTTCCTCCTCTCAGTTAGTACTGAATGTATAAAAGTTTCATGAAGCACAGCTTCACGTGTTTAAATGAATGAGCCGTCTCCGGTGTAAACTACTTCTTATTACCTTATCGTATTCCTGTGCAATACTGTAGAGTAATTAGGGGGTAATTAAGTGGAATCATTGATTAAATACCGAGAAGGTGGGCAATTCAGTCAGGGGTTGAAACATTTATGTTCTTCTGAAAACTCATTAAATAGGATTTGGAGATTTTTTTTTTTTTTCCCCAATTTTCAGAAATAAAAACAAGAAAACTTGGACTGGATCGATGTGCAGAAATAAACCTTTGGGAAACAAAAAGCTTAAAAACAAGTTGACGAATATCAAAAAGATCAAAAGAACCTAAGTGAGTAGATTTAGCCGTTAGTATTATTCGAGCTGATTTTACAACCATAACGTTTCTCCACTCATTGTAATGAGCCTAAATATTTCCTTTCATTTTGAGGTTGTCAAGATTATTTCTAATCGCTAAATGTCAGAAAAATGAGATTATTTTATTGAGACTTTTGAATCAGATCCAGTCAGAACTTTACGTACACAAGGACTCAGACGATGACGTCTTGGTTTCATAAACGTAGGATAAGCTAATTGGCAAAATGTAAGTTTGCAAACATATTAAAATGAATTCATATCAATTTTGTGATTGAGACGGTATTTCGTTTTGAGTTTGTAAACGGGAACTGGTTGGCTGACCTTTGATGACCTCTGGACACATTTGTTAATACCTCTAAAATGACAGCGGCACAAACAAACATTTTTTGTTTAACACCGATTTCGTCGCGACGTGTCACTCACCTTCCCATGGGCCGTGGGTCCGAGCGGGAGCCTCCGCATCGCCATGGAGATCAGAATGCAAAACATTGCCGAGGAGAAGGCAACGGCGGCAAACACCAGGCCCCAGGAGAGGCTGCAGAAGTAACAGGAGCTCTCCGCAGACGTGCACACCAACACGTGCACGGAGGCCAGGAGCAGGCACAAGAGGTAGAAAGGCAGGGAGAGCAGGGAGGAGCGCACTGGAAGGTCCACTGCCGCGGCGCTGCTGAGGGCTTCGGGCATCGCCAGCAGTAAGACCAGCAGGAGCTGAAAGGCCGAGGGTGGAAGAGGAGAGGAGAGGAAGAAGTTTGACCAACTTGGATCAATGCAGCTGTCAGGTTAAAAAGTAGGAACCTCATCTCTCTGTTGTGATGTTTATACTTTTATGGAGTGTGTAGATGTCTTTAGGTCAGGCGTCGACAGCTACTATTCTGCAATTTTTATATGCATCCCCGAGTCATATGAATTCCCTCATCTCAGGGAAGTCAGTCATATTTAAGACATTTAAGACGTTTTAAAGCCGCCCTGAATGAAATGTAAGCTCTAGTTTTCAGTCATAATGACCTCTGCAGAGGTCATTATCAGGTATTATCATGGTATTCAGGAACATTGGAGCAGAGACGCATCTGAAAGTTCCAGGTATATTTTTTCAGGTGCATTTTCAAAACGAGGAGCTGCCCTCGTTCAGTTCGGTTTCTACGTCGGCTGCCAACGGTAAGCATGTTTTCTACGATTCCTCTGAACGTTTCACAGCCTGAACGTGACATGAGAGCTTCTGCCTTAATGGAAAACTCTGAAGCTTTTCACAATTGGAAATGTAAAAACTGCTTCTCTTCATTGACTGTTATTAACATTAGTTAACATAATTAACAGACTACGTCATTTTCCTATTATTAACTTAATACATTGTAAGATTGGCAAAGTTGGTGACTAGAGATGCAACAACCAATCGGATGGTCAGAAACTAAAATAGCAGAGCAGTGAATGCACCATGCTAAGTGCCTTCAGGCTGTCAGTTTAAGATGTCGGTTTCATGATCATATTTTATTTAAAATGTTAGTAAAACCCTAAATTGTGATATCTGAGCACACAGTGCTCAGACATCACCCTCTGCTACTAATGTAAATGATCAGTGGCTGCTAGCTCTTCTTGTTTTGTAGTTCTTAAGAGAAATCCCATTTAGCTAAAATCAGTTTCTGCTGGTCGCTATCTGTATCCTAATGACAACAATGACTGTGAATGTAATTACATGATTTAAATGATCCCAGCAATTTAATAGCAGAAAATAATGATTTCATATAAAAAATCTAATGTGTGTGGAGTAAATCAGTAAACATTTCAATTTTGCTTGCTGCTCTGAATAAAAAACTAACTTTACATTTCCCCCCCCCAGCTTTGTTTTAATGCCAATTCATGTTAAAGACCATTAAAGTTATCAAAATGTTGTAATCTTCTGAGTTTCTCTTTTCTTTTCTACTTCCTGCACTGTTGTGAGGGTTAATGAACCAAACCAGTGCTGCCAAACGGGGGCCAGGCTCCCCCAGCGGACGCTCTGGGGGCCTCACCTGGAACACAAACACCATTCCTGCGATCATGGAGTACATGTCGTATTTGCCCAGCTGTCTGCTCAGAGCAGAACTCATGGCAGCCAGAGCCTCCAGGTACTGCTTCAGGACTTTTTTGCCCATGTTGGTCAGAACCTCCGAGGTGTTTCCTTCCAGGTAGAGCTTCATCCAGCTCCCATGAGCCTTTTCTGCCACACGAAACTGTTCGAAGCCGGCCTCTGGATTGGACAGGGGGAAATGGAAAAAAACAAACAAAAAAAAAAAAACAAAGTGGAAATATCTTGTTTTTAATTTGTTTTCAAGACAAGGTGATCTACTACTGTGCGTTTTTTAAATTAGTAAAACAGTTTTTTCTTCTGTAAAAAAAGGTAAAGAAGAAAATAAATACAGAAAAGGTAAACAATTAAAATCATATATATATATATATATATATATATATATAGTTGACTTATTTAAAGAAAAGTTTGCTTAAAATGCTGCAGCTTAGTCCAGTAGCTACATATTTCCAGCTATATTACATTAGTCATGCTGTTGCTTTTTGTTTTTGTCCTTCCGTAGCATTAATCTAACAAAAGGCTTGTCTATGCATCGTATTCATTGTTCTTCATGTACAACTCGATACGATGGATTAATGAATCCTGTTTTCCTGCATGAGGCATTCGGTTTATCAGAGGCAGCTAAATGCACTCGTATGGCTGAGGAACCGAAGCCATTAATGCTGGAAAAACTGTGCAAACGAAAATAACAACAAAAAAAATCACATTCAACAGGAATTGTCATGTGCCTAACAAAGACCAAAAACGTAGAATCTCGATTTCCAGTTCAGTTCCGTAAATATCTGAACGGATCTTTCCATTTTAACCCTTTCATGCATCATGGTCACTGCAGTGGACAGATATCTGAAAGCCATTTTCTTGTGCTTCTTGTGGATTTCTATGTTATAAATGCACACAGACCACTGAAGTGGACATTAATGCATCATGCAATACACTGCCAACTACTGGCCGTCCACTGCAAATGCAAGAACATTTTGTGAAATCCAATATGGCCGACAGACAAAAGGCATGCCGACCAATCCGGTCCCTCCTTCTACTGTAGACGACTCTTGCAGGTAAGGAAAATATATTGTGACATCAAGTAACCCCTAAAGAACACTACTGAAGTGTTTTCCAAATAACTGTGTCTTTGGAGAAAATTACAATTGAGCACCTAGAAAAAAAAATCTAAAAAACATTCCTACCTTTTTTTTATGCCTTAAGAAAATAAAAAAAACTGTCAAAGGATCATAATTCCTGCATGAAAGGGTTCAAATTTCGAAGTGGCTCTGAACTTACAAGGCCGCTAGATGTTGCTTCTAGAAAAACAGACTGATCAGGCTTAACTTTATGAGTTAGAAGTGTGCTGGTCCCCGTTCTCCTCCGACCCATTGAGGCGTGGACTCCGTTCGACCCCCGAGGTTGTGAAGAAGTATTTGCTGACGAGACGCGACCAGCGGACGCTTCAAGTTTAACTTTGAAGGAGGAGAGCTCCAAGGATTGATCGATCGATCGATCGGTTGTCCAATGTCGATGTTTGACTGGACTGAAATCTGTGGGATTTGGAAGACCAAGCCAACACCTCAGACTTGTTGTTGTGCTGCTAACATAATTCGTGGGCCTGTTTCAGCTTTGCGCTGGGGTGCGTCATCGTGCGGAAAGACGTTTCCTCACGACTGAAGCCTCCGAAAACAGCCGACACATGCTTGTCTTTAATCACGAGGAAAACTTTCAGACCGTTTCTGTAGAAGTGAGATCCCTGTAATCTTACTTACGAATTCATCCGTCATTTTTGACATAATGACATATGATGTTCTTTTGAATAGGTGAAAAAAAAAATCAATTAGATTTCAGTTTTTCTTAGTTTTTTATGGTTCTGCGTCAACTTAAAAAAAAAAAAGAAAAATTAAGCGAGTTCTCCCCTAGTGAGACCATTTAGTCTCATGAGCGATTTGTCTGGTCGCTTACCGAGACCGGCTCTGACTCATTCAGCAGATCAAATGATGCCACCTTACATTTTACTCCGACGGCTTCGAAGCCGCTCGAAGGCCAGAACAATTTGTTTCAGCTCCATGAAAAACACGCAGCCTCTCCTATAAACAATTATTTGCAATATAACACCTATCTCAGCAGCATAAGCATAGAGGTGATAAATAGGGACTGGGGCTCTGTCAGACAGGGAGGGTTAGAAGAAATATTAGAACCTTAAGCCACAGGCATGAATTACACAATATGGATGGCCCCGGCCATGCGTCATCCGTCTGAAAGTACAGGGATTGGTTAATGGCTCCTCCAAATGCCCGAGGTTAGAAGCAGAGGAGAAAAAAAAAAACTTAAAACAAAAAGCAAAAAACGCAACATAAAGATTGAAATACGCGCGACAAGACCCAGGAATGGGGCAGAGAGAGAACTAAAGGTGGAACAGGGTTGTTTAAGCCTTGCATCATCATTTTTTAAAAAAGGCCTGCTTTCATGTCCTGGAAGTTATTTCTTGTGAAAAGCGAGAAAAACAACTCAAGATTTCGAGATAACGCAACACGGGCCGAGTCGGAAAACGCCGGCCTGAGGAGTCGGGGTGGCAAGAACTGCTCGATGCCTCGCATATCTGGAAGAAGAAAATAAAAAAAAACAAACAGAAAACAACAAAATCCAAACCGTATCCCGAGACTCCAAACCCTGAGCAACAGAAGAGGAAGATTTGTCCGACGGGAGGGTTATTAAAACACCCGAGGCAACGGTGGCAAACACATCCTGCTGCATAATAACTTCCTGATTACCCGAGTGGACGGATTCAGACAAATCAACACATCCAAATGTAGGTCTACTGAATTTATTTCCTTTTTTTTTCCTCCCATCGCTATGGAAACCCATGGACTAAAATAGAGAGGGAAGTGAGGTGCCACTCGTGTTTTTGTTTGTCTCTAAATGCAACGTTTGCTGTGTGTGTCTGACATCTGCTTTAGACATGAACACAGTCAACCTGATGGTGTAGCATCATCTGAACTGGGTGCTGGGGGGGAAATACACGCACGCACGCACGCACGCACGCACACGCACACACATACACACACACACACAGGGATGACTACAGATTAGCAGCGATAGTTAATGCTCCATGATGCAGGCATTTCTCCCGCTAGCTGTGCTGAGATCCTCCTGATGCGTTAACGTAGCAGTATGCCCTCCATTATGCCTGATGAGCTTCTTGTTTGTTTGTTTTTTTTATTGTAAAGTTAGGCTCAGGTGTAGGTGGGGGGGTTTCTATTCACTGTCTAATCAAAAGTGGTCCAACGTAGAAACAGCGAGGAAATGGAAACAAGTTTGTAAATGTATGTGGCCAACTTAAAAATACATAAATAAAGTTCAACG